GACAGAAGGAGGGGGAAGATCTTTCTGCCAGTCTGTCTACACCTTGGAGAACCACCTTTTGATCGAGCAGCACCTTCTAGGGGATGCCAACAAACTAAACTGTGTACAGAAGAGGGCAACCCAGATGTTTGGAGGCTAGAACTAGACTTGAGCAAATAAAGGAACTGCAGACTTTAAACCAGAAAAGTTACCATGTAGCAAGGATACAAGTATCTTTGAAATCCTGAAGCACTGTCTTGTGAGAAAATAAAAAATTTTCTCCAGTCCTATACTCCACCAAAGAGCAGGATCAGTGGATAGAAACTCCAGGGAGGCAAAAAATCAAGTCTGAACAGAATGCAAAATGTTCTAAGAGAACTAGCTGAAAGTCAAGAGATGAGTATAAGCAAAGGTTGGGTGACCACTTGGCTCTCTGATCTTCTTGGGTGAAAGTGCTGGGCTGGGGGGAATTTGAGACAGACTCCAACTTCTCCAGCCTTCTGCACCTCTGAACTTAAACCGAGGTGACGTTCCTCCTCCTGGGTGGCCACCACACAGTGTGCTTGCAGAAGCATCACTGAAGGATTGCAGTAGCAGATGTTCACGTGGCCCAAGAACCCTCGCACCTATTTCCCCCTTCCCAGTGTGAAGTTCTGGAAGGGAACTTACTTTGAATTTTCTCATTGTTTGAACAGGATTTGTATCAAGTTCAGGGTTCTCTCATTTCCAAGATTTACAAGGCAGAATTCTCCTTGTGCCTCAGCTTCTCCCGCCTCCTACTCTGTCTTTCCCCTGCTACTGGTTTCCTTTTCCTCCCGTGCAGAGCAGAGCGGGGAGACAAGCGTCTCTAGACACTCCAGGCAGCAGCACACCTGGCTCAGTGCAGTCCATGACCCCCCAAGAGACACAGAGATGCCGGAGTCTAGCAATAAGATCCCTTCTCTCCGTATCACCAAAGGGCTGTTTATAACCAAGAAAAGGGACCCCAAGGAAAGGATGAGGAGTCCCAGGATGGCTTGTTTGCTAACAAGGGGAAGAGGACACCTAGAGGGAGGTCCGAGGAGGCAGAGAGGGACGGTATAGAGATGGAAGAGCAGGTTTCCCTGGCCCAGAGAGGCCATTGCTGCAGCAGGAGGAAATGGGACCTTGAACTAAGGAGGCCATAAAATAAACACTGTCTCTGTTGTCAGATGGTGTTCCTTTAGGCAGTTCAGGAGGCGACTTGGGGGGAAGCCCAGGCTCCAGAGAGACCCTCTGGGTTAGGATTTGCTTTACTTCCGTGCGCAGCCTTCACTGGTCTCACTGTGAAAGAGATAAGTGCACTGGCTCGGTCCACTTTAGGCTGCTGCCTTAGAGTGGGTACTTTACAAACAACAGAACACAGACCTGGAGGCCGGGAAGTACAAGGTCAGGACACCAGCAGATTCAGGGTCTGGTGAGGCCCTGTTTCACCAGGTGTCATAGATGACACCTCCCGTGTCCTACATGGCAGAAACAGCAAACAGTTCCCTTGCACCTCTTTTACAAGGTCATAATCTCTTTCCTGAGGGTTCTGACTGCAGGGCTTAGCTGCCTGCTCAAGACCCCACCTCTTAATATTATCACTTTGGCAATTAAGTGATTTTGGGGCGGGCAGGGTGGGGATCACACCTTTGGAGATTTCTGCCTCCTAAAGTTAAGGGGATCACAACGCCCAATATTAAATGGAACTGCACAGAACTGCTGTTACACAACCACTTTTCAATGCACAACAGCAGTTTCTTATGGGTCGTCTTGACGCAGGAGGTTTAGCTCAGCCGGGCAGTTCACCTGCACCCCTAAGCTACTCAAGATCCTTTAAGTTTCAGAGCCCAGGTCACGTCCCAGACCAATTAAATCGCCATCTCTGCAGTTGGGACACCTAGCTGGGTGAGTCTAAAGTGTGAGCTCGTTTGGGACCATTGAGCTTCGTTAGCCCAGCGCTCCTCTTTTCCTTCTCCTGTCTCTAACTGAGCATCTCCGGCATGCCAGGCTTGCCTCCTGTCGCCTGAACCTTCCTCCCCAGCAGCGCTCACCTCTCCTCTCCTCCTCCGCAGTGTCCAGGCCCCGCAGCTCCCCGGACGACCTGAAGGCGCTGACTCGCAATGTGAACCGGCTGAATGAGACCTTCCGGGACTTGCAGCTGCGGCTGCTGCAGGCTCCGCTGCAAGCGGACCTGACAGAGCAGGTGTGGAAGGTGCAGGACGCGCTGCAGAACCACTCGGACTCGCTGCTGGCGCTGGCGGGCGCGGTGCAGAGGCTGGAGGGCGCGCTGTGGGGCCTGCACGCGCAGGCGGCTCAGACGGAGCAGGCGGTGGCCCTGCTGCGGGACCGCACGGGCCAGCAGAGCGACGCGGCGCAGCTGGAGCTGTACCAGCTGCAGGTGGAGAGCAACCGCAGCCAGCTGCTGCTGCGGCGCCACGCGGGCCTGCTGGACGGGCTGGCCCGAAGGGTGGGCGTCCTGGGCGAAGAGCTGGCCGACATGGGCGGCGCGGTGCGTGGCCTCAATCACAGCCTGTCCTACGACGTGGCCCTCCACCACACGCGGCTGCAGGACCTGCAGGTCCTGGTGAGCAACGCCAGCGAGGACACGCGCCGCATGCGGCTGGTGCACATGGACCTGGAGCTGCAGCTCAAACAGGAGCTGGCCACGCTCAACACGGTGACCGAGGACCTGCGCCTCAAGGACTGGGAGCACTCCATCGCGCTGAGAAACATCTCCCTCGCCAAAGGTACCCTCTGACCCCACCCCAGCCCACAGAGCCTCCTGGGGTCCCCCCTGCTCAGGCCTCCCTCCTGCACGTCGCTCCCCAAGGGCCCCCCCCCAGGTGCATTCCTCGGTCCAAGCTCAACTCCTTCTTTTAAGTCTTGCCTTTCTAGACTCTGGAATTTTCTGTGGGAATGATCTAACTATGCCTACTTCCAAGGCCTTGCCCAGGTCTCTCCCCTGCGTAAACCTACCTAGGACAGAGTGGACTCAGCCTCTACATCTGCAGGCAGGAGAATGGCCAGGGGGGACTAACCCGGGTCTGGGTAGCTAGATCTTGGACGCGCTGGCTGTAGCTCCAGGTCTCGGGGCTGCCTGAAGAAGAAGACCTGGCTGCAACCTCAGGTTCAAGTTTGGCAATGGTGAAGTTCCAAGGAGTGGAAAATTCCAAACTAAGCTTTCTAGGCAGTTAGAAGGTGTACTCGTACAGGTGAAAACATATTTCATTTAACCATTAATTAGTTTCATTTGTAACTCAAATGCAACAGCAAAAATGTGTAGGGCCTCCATTAACCTCCTGCTCTGGGACCTAGAGCCCAGGGACCCGACTTGCACTCTTCACTTCTGGCTAATCAGCCCCTCCCCAACCCTTCCCTCTCCAATTCCTTCCTGAAGCACATGCTGTCAGAGGTGCCTTTCACGCCACGTTGCCCGGTGCTCACACCCCACAGCTCCCCAAGGGCTGTCAGAGTCATTAGACTCCCCTCAGCCTGCCAGTCAGCACCAACAATGCCATACTGATTACCTACTGTAGGTTGGGTACTGCACCCAGTGTATCTCATCGGGCATCTTTCAAACCAGCAGCTGTCTGAAGAAGCATCATGGTCCCCACTGGATTGCTGAGGGAAGCTTAAATAGCTAGTCTGGGTTATAGGACAGGGAGGGAGAGGATGGAGTGGGATTTGAACCTGGCCATTCTGATTCTGGCACCAATGTGTTCTCTGTCACATTCCCCTCTGTCCTGCCTGCCTTCCACCTCCATACGGGGAGCACAAACAGCTGTCTGCAGGCACCCAGGCACCTCCTCCTAGGACTGCTCATGAGCCCTCCCCTGCCCCTGAGCTTCCACACTGGGAACAGCGAGTTTTATCCTGGTGCCTTCCATTTGTAAAGTCCTTTGCTCTCGTGTGCATTTTTAAATTTTGAAATGACAAGACAAACTGTGAGGCTGGTTTCAGGCGGGTGTCTTGATGAAGGAGGGGTAGGATTTTTGGCTCAGAACAACCAAGGCTCAGGCAGAAGTGCCTGATTACTCAGGGCCACGTGGCTGGTAATGATCCAAACTAGGATTTTTTTTTTATTTCAACAGCTTTAATAAGATATAATTTACATGCCACAGAATTCACTCCTTGTAAATAAGTGTGCAATTCAATGTCCAAGAGTTTTAGTCCCAGCACCCAGAGTGCATTCTGCTGCCCTCAGTCCATTGGTATGCTTCTGTGTCCCCAACCCTAACAATGCATACACAGAAGTGGGGCTCAGTGAACACTCAACAATCATTGGATCTCGAGGTCAGGTAATCAGAGGCTCCCCTGCTCCATCTGTCATCTGTTCCTGATCACTTTGAGCTCAGGGTCAAAGGAAGGTAAGCTATAGAATTTCTTCTTTCAAATTCATGCCCCTGCTTTTCTGATCTTCTCTGTTTCTTGACCTCCCCTTTCTGTAGAAGTCCATGTAGGCATCTCCTAATAACAGTAGCCACACTGCATTATGACCTATGATGAACGAGGCACTTTACAGACGTTCATTCCCCTAATAGATGCTCAAAACCGCTAAGTCTCACATCCTGGGAGAAGTCTTATCTTCCTCCCTTTGTAGATAAGAAACCCGAATAACATTCCCACTGCTTCTTATGCAGTTGGCAAGTGGCAAAGTCAAGGTCTAAACGTGGGTCTGTGGGGCTCAGAAACCCATCCTGCTCCCCAGCTGCAGGCAGCAATGGCGGCTGGAGTGCTGAGGCCGCTCTCTGGGGCCTCTTTTGCAGTGTCACTCAGAAGAGCTTCACCCCGTGACCTAGACACTCCTGAGCCACCACCTCGGTGATTAGGGTTCAACATATGGATTGGGGAGGGGGCACACGACATTCAGACCACAGCCCTGGGGTGCCTGGCTCTTCACCACTGGACACCACTGGGCCCCTCCAGCTGTCAGTGTCACCCTTCATCTGCTGTGTCCACCCTTTCCCATGTCCCTCTCTCCCTGTTGCCAGGTACCCAGTCGTTGTTTTCAGAAAGTCTTGTATTTGGTTTATCTGGTGTAATTTCCCTTCTGCTTTACTGAGTCAGAACTCTACGCTGGCTTGGGATGGTGGATGCTGTACCACCTAAGCTCCCGGGCCTTTCCTACTTCTGTCTGGAGTGACCTCAGTTCCTCCCAAAGGTCTTTAAACACACATACAAACACTCACACTCACATGTGTACACATGCACCTATACACATGTACGTGTGACACATGGACACACACGTGCACGCCCACAGGTATACTCACAGTGACACACATGTGCGCATGCACGCCATACCTATGGCTGCCTTTGGCCCTTTTCTGGCTCAGATTCCACAAGTGACTCAGATATGTGTATTTTCAGTATGAGCTTATTTTCATTATTCTTGAGTTCGGCTCAAATGTTTTTCATTCTCTCTTTGTTATGCGGTTTTCTATGAGTTTGGGTCTGCAGTTTGTCTTTTGCAGATTTTCACAGTGGGGCTTTATGTTTTCTGCTTTGCTTTGGCAGCATTGATTAGGTTTGTTGAAATCTGTGTGTGGATTTCAAAGAATTAGAGAATTTAAGATTATCTGAGAGAGGAGGCATCAAGTAGGAGAAAGATAACCAGAGGGGTTATTTCAGTTGTTTTGTCACAGGGAGAAAAAGCTGACCACACAGGGAGGGGAGGACTGGGCACTGCCTGGAGGCAGGCTTCCCAGGCGTGTTCAGATGGTTATTTGCAAGAATCAAAGTTTTCCAAAATCCCAGTGGAAACAGATCTCAGAAATGATCTAGTCCTGTTTTACAGTGGAGGACTCTGAGGCCCCTTGAGGAAAAATCATTTGCCCAAGTCAAATGCCAAGCCTGTGGCCCAGTTATGGCTAAAAATCACAACTCTTGATGCACAAAAACAAGTTTTTTAAGCAGAAATATCTGGGAGCTTCTTTTTCAAGAAAAAAAAAAAATGCCCTCTAGGAGAGCAGAGAGTCCAACTGAAGACACATTTTTGAGGGGTTGTGGAATGGAATCCAGGCTCTGAGGCCGGGACTTGGGCCTCTAGTTAATAGGGATCTGTTGGAGGGGTTGGCACCCCTGTGAACAGTGCCACGTGTGAACTAGTGGTCCCACTCCATGGAGGCTCAGATGTGAGGACGGGGAGGGGATCCCCGGGCAGGGTGTGTGGCCCTGCCACACCTGACTCTGCTGCCGCGGGGTGGAGGGCACGCTGTGGAAATGACAGTTGCACCTAGCTGGTCCCCACCTGCTTTGCCCCGAGACTCAGAAGACCACTGCCAGGGCGTCCCTGCACCTTTCAGAGCTCGAGTCTCCCTGGCTCTGAATGGGACTGGGGGACCCTGTGCTTAGAGAGATGCCTGAGCGACGAGGGAACGGGAACAAAGTGCTCTGGGACAGGTGCCCAGCTCCAGTGCTGGTGACTCCGGAGCCCAGAGCAGAGCACTCAGTGGAAGGGCTCCACCCTCCATCAGGGTGGGTCAGTGAGGATCTGGGGTCGGCGTCCATCCCTGTACTGCAGCTTCAGCCCAGGTCGTCTTTGTTCTGGCAGGTGTTCCCCCAATTCCAGCATTCACAGGTCCCCCCCCACAGGACCCAGGAAGTGGGGAGGGTTTGCTTCCTTCTCTGTTGCCTGCCCCCCAGGACAACCCTGGTGCGTCTCCCGAAGGCTCAGTCCCTGGTCCTCATCTGGTGGGAAGATGCACTTAGGGAGCATCTCCCGACAGCCAGGCAGGGCAGGACCGCAGAGGGACGAGTGGGCAGGCTGGTGGACAGGCCCTGAGCGGGGCGGGATCTTCCTCCCTGCCCAGCCTCCTCCTCACTGCGGCCTGCCTGGCTGATGGAGAGGATATGACAGGGGACAGCGTAAGCATTGAGAAGTGACAGAGCCCACGTGGACACCACAGGGAGCAACTGATCCTCCAGGGCTTCCTACTGCCCAGTAGGACTGTCATTCTTAGAATCCCAACCAGGGCTGCGTGAGGCACGAAGCCACAGAGAGAGGGAGCCCCGATGTACACATCACCTGTCCATGTTGGGGACCACAGTCTAAGGGGGGTGGCTGTACCCAGGGGGAAGGCAGGGGCTCAGGGACACTCCAACAAGGCCACTGCACAGCCATCTCCCTGCCCAAGGAGCCTGAGGAGTCAGAGCTGTGGGCATGGAGGTGACCTCAGGGCTCAGGGGGAAGGAGCTCTGAGAAAGGAAAGGATTTAGCCAATGTCTGGGGACATCACGAGGAGCAGAGTTTGCTGAGGAGGAGGGGAGTGTGTGTTTGAAACATCCCCCACCAGCCTGTGCAGAAGATTCCGATGCCAGCCTTGTTCGGGGTCTCCCCCGGGCTGTGTCTGAGTGCACTTGGCTGTTTTCAGGATTTGGAGAGATGAATCAGGCAGCAGCGTGCACAGCGGGCTGGACTCGGGGGAGCAGAGACCAGGGGGACTTTAAAGAGGCAGGAGAGAAGCCAAGGACCCATGTAGGAGGTAGAGACAAGCCTGAATGTTCCTGGGGGAGGGGACTGAAGGGACAAAGGAAGAGGACTGAAAGCAGGCCCCCGATTCCTGAGAAGAGCAGATCCTGGGAATGCATTGCTAGACAGCAGCTGCGGTCCAAAGAGCTCAGGTACCAGAGGACCAAGCCCCGAGAGGCTCTGGCCAACCTCTAGGCTCTTCTGAGTCAGGCTGGCCAGTGTGGCCTGAGGACGGGACCAGACATGGAAATGAGTGCCCACCTTCACTGACCAGCTCCTTCCAGTTCACCCCTGCCAAGGCCCTCACTAGCCCCTCCCTGTGTTTCCATCGGTGTCCGTCGACATTCCTGTTTGGGCAGCTTGGGACCTACCTCCCCCGGGTGAGCTGCCCAGTCAGGGTGATCTCAGGGGCACCTCAGAACAGCACGACACCGTGATCTCATAACAGAAGCAGTATGAAAAGGCAGGCGTGGACGGCCGGGGCTGGCCTCTTCAAGCTTCCAAAGCCTCCCACATCCGGCGTGTCATGGAGTCCGCACTCCTGCCACAGCTGCATGAGAAAGGGCTTCTTACCCCCCTTTAACAGAACCAGGACCCGGGCCCACGTTCAACTGTCTCCATGTTCAACTCCCATTTTCCCAATTACCTCCACTCCCTGCTGCCCACCTTCTGGGTTGTTCCACTGGGCAGTCATCCTTTCTCTCTTAGCCAGTGACGCTCCTGGGAAGATCGGTGCCTGTGTCTGTGTTGTGACAGTTTTTCTCCCTGTGATGAAACAACTGAAATATCACCTTATAAAGAGGAAAGGGTTTTGGGTCACAGTTTTGGAAGTTTCAGTCCATGGTCAAGTGGCCCAGTTGGTTTTGGGCCAGTGACAGGTCAGTACCTCATGGCAGGAATGCACAGTGGAGGAAGCCACTCACTTCATGGGATCCAGGAAGCCAAGAAAAAGAAGAAGCCCAGGGTCCCAGTGTCTCCTTCAAGCCATGCTCCTGTGACACAACATCCTCCTACTAAGCCCCACCTCTTAAAGGATCCACTGCCCAATAATGTCAGAGGCTGGCTCTACAGGGGACATTTTAGACCTAAACTGTGGCAGGTTCGCACCTGCACCAGCTCAATTCCTGAAGTCCTGGGCTCCTGAAGAGCAGAGTAGAGTGAGAGGACGTGAGTGTATGGGGTAGGGTCCAGCAGGTTACCTCTCTCAGCTCCTCTGTCTCCTCAACCTGGAGGGGAGGTTGCTGCATGGAGTCCGGAGCTCTTGTGTCTCTTAGCTTTTCTTTTCATTGGCTGCATGATCTTGAACCTGTTCCAGATTGGTTCTGTGACTCAGTCCTGTGCTCTAAAAACTGGGATGGATATGGCCAGTATTATTTTGCTTTTCTTCACAGACAAGAGGACGATGGCTCAAACCCCAGCCCTCCTCAAATGCTTTGTGTAACTCATGATTTTTTTTAAAAAAATGTTGATTGCTTTTTCCCTGTGCATGTGCCATTGAACTATTAAACAGCTGTCGACTTTGGTTAGGGTCTGAGGATAGTGCCAACTTTTGGAATGTATCAGTACATCTCGATCTTGGCAGCCTGGTTGTTTTGTGTGTATTAACACCCTCTGATCTCATACGCTCATTAATTCATCAAACATTTATTGTGCAAGACTTCACCGCTACACTGTGAGTGTGTGTGTTGTAGTTTCCTAGGGCTGCCATAACAAAGCCCCACAAACTGGGTGGCTTAGAATAATAGAAACGTATTCCCTTATAGCTCTGGAGGCTGGAGTCTGAAATCGAGATGTGCCCAGGGTTGTATCCCCCCTGAAAACTCTGAGGGAGGGTCCCCCTTTGCCTCTTCCTGTGTCCTGGTGGCAGGGGATCCTGGGTTCCTTGGCTGGCAGACGTGTCCCTCCAGGTCTGCCTCTTATCACGTGTTCCCCTAATGTCTCTCTGTTTTCTTTTCTGATGAGGATGCTAGTGATTGGGCCCCACCCCACTTCAGTGTGACCTCATCTGCTGATCACATTCCTAACAAGGGTGAGGAGGTTCAGAGTGGGCATGGATTTGGAGGGGCACTACTCCACCCAGTTCAATAGGTGTGAGTTTTCCTGGAGAGCCTGAAGGCTGGGCTTCAGGGGTGGGATGTAAAGGACAGAGTCCTGCCACAGGGGACTGGACTGTGTCCACAGGACAAGGCCAGATGAGGAGCATGTCAAATGGCACCAGGTTCTGTGCCAGGTGGGTTGTTCCTGCTTTCAGCAGGAACAATGGGTGAGGGATGGTTTCAGCAGAAAGGTGGCAGCCAGCAGCCACTGGGCTGGTGGCTCTCGGAGGTCAATAGTAGCCCTAGGCTGGGCACCTGGGAAAGGCAGGTGTAGCCGTGGGTGGCAGGAAGGTTCTAGGGAGGGAGAAGCGTCTGGCCCTGTGGGTGTGGCAGACTGGACAGTTGCCCTACAGACCTGGATTGAAACCACAGCTCTTCACTGGCCAGCTGGCTGTGTGGCCTCAGACAAGTAACTTCAACAGGCAGCGAGTTATGGGGACTGAAGCCAACCACGTAGCCAGGATCCCTGCCACGCCAGAGCCTCGCCCCAGGAGGCAGCCCACTCAGGAGCAGTTAGAATCCCAGCTTCCACGGAGTGCCCAGCCAGAAACCCGAGCCTGCTCTCCATCCTCCTGTGCCCTGCACCAGCCAGAGCCAGGGTCTGTCTCTACATTCTAAACAGGGTCCCTCTGATGCCACTTGCCTACCTGGGCTCCAGCCCCCCACCCCAGGTGGATTGCAGCCTCCGCATCTGCCTACCCCCATCCGTTCCCCACACAGCAGCCTGAACCTTCCTCCTGTGCAGGTCCCACAGGGCTCTTCCCTCAGGCCCCTCCTGGGACTTCCGGGACACTCCATCAGACTCCAGTCTGGCCCTCAGGCCAGGCCTGTGAGTGACCCCAGCTGCTTACCCCCCTCCCCCGCCCCACAGCTTGCACAGCACTGTCCTCCCCACCCACCAAGCCCCAAGCTTTCAGTTCTGGGAATATTTCAACAGAATTCACACAGGTGCATTCAAGTAGGTTAGAAATCACAACCAAGAGCCTATCTGTCCTTTATTATTGTTAAGAATGAAAATGGATTGTCTTATAAATAGGACATTAGGCCAATGGAGTATCTTTTACTTAGATGAACCTACATTAATAGGTCATTGGGTGAATATGATGTCTGGGACACTGGGACAAATAGGCTAAGCCCCTGGAGGGACAGCCCCTCTGCTGGGACCTCTCCCTTTGCTGCCATTAGTCATCCCAGGTCACCATGGCGACCACCACAGACTGGGGGCTCAGACCACAGGCCTTTCTTCGTGGCTGGCTTCAGGTGAGGGCTGTCCTCCTGGTCTGCAGACAGCCACCTTCCTACGTCGTCTCCCCTGGCAGAGAGCACTTGTGTACGCTGGGGGCTGGGGAGGGGGGAAGCCTGCGGGGGGAGTGCTGGTGCTGGTGTCTCTTCTTATAAAGCCGCTGATCCCATCGTGAGGGCCCCACCCTCATGACCGCCTCTGATCCTAATCCCTTCCCAAAGGCCCAGCTCCTAAAACCATCCACTGTGGGGGGACGTCAGCATACAGAACAGGAGGGACACGAGTGTTCAGTCCCCGACACCCCTCACTGGCTCCTGTGAGGTGTCACTGTGGGTGCTGCTTCTTCCAGGGAGCCTTTCCTGATGTCCCCAAGACAGAGCTAGGTAGTGTCCCATGTGCTTCTAACACATAAGGCTGACCCTCTCGGCCTCCGAGGTCCGCGCTTCTTCTGCAGACGTCCTGGCCCTGTTCCAGAAAGCACCTTCTCACCTAAGTGCTCTCCTCCCCTCAGGGCCACCTGGACCCAAAGGTGACCAGGGGGATGAAGGAAAGGAAGGCAAGCCTGGCAGCCCGGGACTACCTGGACTTCGAGGTAACAGGGTTGTCCTGGGAGGGACCTGGGTACCCACGAGTCCATCCTGCCTCTCCTTTCTCATGGAGGTAGATGTTGGGGCTCCCTGGACGGTGCCCATGGCGTGGCTTCCAGCGCTCTGTTCTGACAGCGGAGGCTGTTGGTGTAGCCAGAGGATGGAGCAACCCCTCTTGTTAGGAAGGGCTAGGACCTTGAGGGAAGGAGTACAGGAGAGGCCCGTGGTCCACCCAGGGCCTCCAGACCAGCCCTCCCATATGCTCTGCCCCTCCATGTTCCCACTGGGCGCCAGCTGCCCCTGCCCCACCTTGCCTCCTGCTGAAACTGCCCAGGCTCACGGACGTGTCAGGAGCACCTGCCCCTCCGTCTTGCTGCACACAGGGACAGCCCTGCAGACCTCGGGTGGTGGGCAGGGCACTCGGAGGTCTTCCAGGAAGACTCTTCTTAGACTCATCCTCTCAAAAGTCTAAGAAGTTAGTTTCTCAAACTTCGCCATAGTGTGTTCTTGAGCCATGCAGCACACAAGGTTTTTCCAGGACAGGGTAAAGATTTCAGAATGATGGAAGGAAAGGAGGTATAGGGGAGAGGGCCTGGTTATGCATTTTAGGAATCATGTCTCTTAAATCTCCAAGCATGTTGCCAATGCAGCAGACCAGGGATGGGAGGGGGAAGCTCCAGCCAGGCCTCCATGCTGGCCTCCCCTCTCAACAGAGCTCTGGAAACCAAATCGAGGGTGCTTGGGGCTCCCCAGGCTGTGCAGCCACCTTTTCTGCCTAATGAATCATAGGGTGTGGAGCTCTGGGCACAGCCTGCACTTAGAGTCAGAATTTTGTGGCCACCGGACTCTGGGAACAGATAGGCGGTGTTAGGAGGGGAGAGAAGGAAATTCCATCAGCCCTCTCCGTGGTCCTCCCACTCTCTGGAGGCCACCCGTCCTCTTCCAGCCATTTGACACTCGTGCTGGAGGAGTCATTGCTGGGAGACAGGTTTCTTGTGAAACCAGCTAGCTTTCCAGGCAGGAAGGAACAATTAGTCAGTTAATTGAGGGTGCTCTGCTTTGCAGGGATTACTGTGGGCTTAGGTCAGGCCTCCTGGGGGCCCTGGGCGCTCACTTGGTGAGAGCGTTTGTTGATTCTGGCTCTCCGTGGTGCAATCAGTGCAGGCGGTGGCCATGGGGCCTTGTGGCCGGGAGCCCAGGGCTGACTGGGCGGCAGGCCGTGCGTCCCATTTATTGACCTTGCTGATCCCCTCCATCCTCAGCTCCAATGCCTTTCCTATACCGCCTGTATTTACGGAAAGGAAGGGATCTTCTGTTCTTTCTTTAAATAAGATGGGACACTGCTTCCTCTTCCTCCTAATGGCCAAAGCCATACCCCTCCCTGAGTGCCAGTAAGCCCCTTGGATCCAGCCTGAGGTGAGGCTCACCAACCTGGAAGAGCCCAGCTCAGGTTCTTCCTCTGCCCTCTCCACGGAGTGCCCTTGGGTAGGTAGGTTAGTTAAGCTGCCAGGGCGGTCGCTCATCTGTAGTACAGGTGAGATAATGCCTCCCAATCTGTTGTGAGGAGTAAGTGAGATACTTCATGCCTGGCACACAGAAAGTGTTCCCAAAAAGTGTTTGCTGACTCTGAACCTCCAGCAAGCGTAGGTAGAGAGACTTGCTAAGTGGGGCTGGCACTAGCAACACTTAGCAGAACTGGGCTTTTCAGTTGGGAGGCATCCAAGCCTAACTGGTAAAAGGGCTCATGGGGAAGGTGCATGCTGACCTGTTAGACGCTGCTTTTGTAACATCTTTAAGACTCGGCTTCGGAGGATCGCGGTTGTGTTAGACTGTTGAACCAGACAATGACCTCTAAGGGACTTCCAGTTCTGAAGCTTTGCCCTTGTCTCTTCTCTCCCCAGGTCTTCCAGGGGAGAGAGGTACCCCAGGACTGCCTGGCCCCAAGGGCGATGATGGGAAGCTGGGGGCCACAGGCCCAATGGGCATGCGCGGGTTCAAAGGTAATAACGAATCTCAGTACACCCTAGAGCTTCTCTCTCCGCCAGGCCCCAGGCAGCATGGGAGGTTGGAGGGGTGGACCAGGGGTCTCATCCAGCCTCTGTCCAGCTGAACACTCTTGGGCAAGTGCCTCGATCTCATTAAGCCTCAGTTTTCATCTGAAAACCAGAGATTCTCATGCTGCCTGCCATCTCCGTAGGCCATCGTGCGAATAGAGCAGGTGTGGGTGTGGAGATGCTGCGGAGGTGTGAGCGGCCTTACTAAGGTGCCGCCCAGAGCTGCAAGCAGAGGATTTCAGTGGGGGCTGCAGGACAGACAGGCTGCAGGCCCGACAGCCGCTCCTGGCCAGTGCTGTGGGCTTCCCGTGTTCTGCAATGCTCCGTGTTTCCCAGTATTTTCAACTTAATTCCCTTCTCAGATTTACACGGCCCGTGTTTCCTCTAAGTGCCTTTTCTTCCTATGTCCAGTTCCCTTGTTCAGTTTTAGGGGAACGTCCTTGAGAGTCAGCCCATGTCTTTCCATTTGCTTTTAAGATTGCCAGACCTCTTGTCAGCACTGCAAAAGATGAGGACGTCTGTTGCTCTTTTCCCAAGTTTTCTGCTCGTCACTGGTTGCAATAGCTCAGAAAACAGTATTAAGAACCATTCCCACGCCCTCATCTGGGATGGTCTCTTCATCTTGGAACACTGGCAAGTCTTAGTCTCCTCTCCAGTTGGTGGTGAAACCGGCTGAGGGTTTCCTTTCTTTTATGATCCCCATTTAAAAATTCATTTGAAAACAGACTATAAGACCAATATATCCTTGTTGAAAAAAAAAATAGATAGGACTGATGTGTTCCAAGGATAAAGAGCAAGAACCCCTCTTCCCCGGGGGGTTCAGCTATTATTCTTTACAATGACCACCGTGAACTCTTTGGAACACATCCTGCCCGACCTTTCTCTGAGTACTTACATATATATCATTGCCTTTTTTTTTTTTTTAAAATAAAACTTGGACTTTGACTTGCTCTTTTCATTCACAGTAAGCTGTGAGCTTTGATTGGCAGATACTTTTCCAGAGAGCCTTGAAATAGGATCTCCTGGGTATTTTCATGCCCTTTGAGTGGTTGGTGCCAAGGCTTTCGAACTTCTCTGTAGAGTGAGGTGCCAGCTGGGAAAAGAACACTTCTCTTTTAACCATATCCTGTGAAGGGAATTTCAAAATTCCCTGGAAACTCTTGCTCGTGTTTTCATCTCTCCCACCAGAAAATCTGCCTGAGACACAAACGGTCTGTATGTCCCTGAAGCCCACCTCTCCTCCTCCCTGTGCTCGTTAGAGGAGCTCAGATGTGAACTTGGGAACCGCTGACTGTTCCACCGAGGCCCGTGTGGCCTTCTCTGCGCAATACTGTGTGTTCTCTGAGTTTGTGTGCCGGATGCTCGTCGTCTGTGCTGTACCTAGGAGGGAACGGGACACCCTCAGCCAGACCCACTCTTTCCTGGGGTGACCAGAGCAGGTGGCCTAATCGCCGAGCTCCTGTCTCCCCTGCTGTGTTCTCTCGTTGCTGGTGGCTCCTGCCTGGGGTTCTCTTCAGGATTGAGTCAATAACTCTGTAGATGAGGTTTTCTTAACAATTAGAGTTTGTGTCCATTCCTAACACCCGTCTTCCTCCTGTTTCAGGTGACCGAGGCCCGAAAGGAGAGAAAGGGGAGCGAGGAGACCGAGCCGGGGATGCCAGTAAGCGAGTCCTCCCGGGTCACTGGGTGCTGTGCCCACAGGGTTGGAGCTCTTGCCCATCCCCATGAGGTCGGGGTCCGGGGACTAGAACCACATGCTGCGGTCAAGTGTCAAAGAGGCTCCCTCCCTTCTGGGGGGCTCTGCTGGTCCAGCAAGATTTTGCCAGACCCCAGGGGCGGAGGCTGTTTCTGGAGGTGGTGACAACCTGTGCTTGTGTGGGTGAATCTGGAGGCTCCCCGCTGGCGGCCTCTGGAGCTGGCTGTGTGCAATCACAGTGCCTCGGTATTCTCACTACAGAATGGGGACAAGAAGAGTCCTTGCCTCCTAGGGTCAAGGTCAGAGTTAAAGGAGTCGATCTATGTGAAGTTCTTCACCTGGTTAGGACTCGGGACGCGCCATTATCGTCATTCCTTCCCAGGCACCAATTCAGACCTCCTTCCTAAAATCATCAGAGGCGCTTGCCAAAACTCAGTCACCGACCTTACGAAAAATGGGGTGTTACAGAGGGAAGAACACAGAAGCCAAGCGGAATCTCCTGTTTCCCTCCCTTGCCGCTCAGAGGGTGGTGAGGTTGGAGACACTGTTATCTGGCCGACCACCCAGATGCCCCGGTCTCCCTGCAGCGGGCACAGGGGTGCTGCCTTATCTGGCTGTGCCGCTCTCTTTTAGGGTGTACGTGTAGAATCTCGGAGAGATTGCCAGACAAGAATGAAGAGAGTCTCCCCGCCAAGTTTTAAACAAAAACAAAGCCACCAGCACGTCGTCCTGCTGGCTCCGAACCGCGGCCGCCCCGCGTGAGGGCGTGAGCCCATTATCGCCTCCTTGGGCATCGCATTCCCGGCTTGGCCCTGGGAGGCCTGGGCCTGGGAGGGGTGCCCACAGGCTCCGTTCCGTGGACCCTGGGAAAAGAGCCACTGCAGAGTCACAGGCTGGCCTAGACCGAGGGCCCCCCTAAGAGGCTGGGCATGAACGTGTTCTTGGGGTGCTGGGCTGTTTCGGACAGAACACTGCCAAGGTAGCTGCGGAGATGGTGGCATTTAGCTCTCAGAAATAAACAACTCTGACAGCTCGGGCAGGAAGGGAGGGACTGTGGGGAAAGATGACCTTTGAGAGGGAGATCAGAAACGCTGCCACATACCGGAGGGTCTGGTCAGGGCCTCTCTGGCTGCTGTTCTTCCTGCTGACTAGAGAAGAGACGGGGGTCAGAGTGAGCCAGGGACCGTGGGTGTGAAGCATGCTCCGGTCACTGTCTACCTGGCTTCTGTGGCCAAGCTGGCTGGGCTCGAGACAGGGCACAAAGTGAGGAGGTGGGAGCCCAGGCCCCCTGGAGATGGGTGGGAGGCCTGGGGAAGGGCCCCCATTCACCTGGCCCTGGGGCCTGCTGACCACACAGCCAGAGGCCGATGTCAATCTGGATGCCCCTCCCCAGGGACTGAGGCTTTCTTTCCTGCCTTGAAGAGACTACACCCTGACTGGAGTCCAGAGCTCAGACCCAAAGCTCCGAGCTCTCCCTTCCAAGTCCCCCAGATGGCCTCCTGGGGGGTGGAACAGGAGAGTGAGGGCCTCAGCAGAGGCAGTTCATTGACAGGAAGCTGTTCACAACACCGGGAGGAGCACGGAGACACTGACACCAAAACCGGAAGGCCATTACCTGTCTTCCCCATGATGAGTCCCACATCAGTAGGCAGAGACAGCCGAGAGCTGAGTGCCTGGGTGTTCAGGGACGAGAGCGCAGGCCCTGGTCCTGGACAGTGGGTTCCTGGACAGTGGGTTCCTGGACAGTGGGGTCTTGGAGAGTGGGGGTGAGCCCCAGAAAACCCCTAGTGACTCCCTCCCTCACTACTCAGTCTAGGTCTAGCGATGGCGGAAGCAGACGACAGGAAGCCAACCCGGGGCAGTGAGCTTCCTTTATTCTGCAGTGAAGTCAGCCCATGGGTCCGGGAGGCTCATTTTCTGGGAATGAAGATGGCCCTTGGGTTACAGGAGTTTACGATGAGGGCGAATTAATCATTGGAGACCGTGGACATGCCGCTTGGGCAGTCAGGGACCTGGTTGTGCAGGTTGAGGTTTTAACTCAGGAAGGCAGTTGTAGAAGGTTTGAAACTCCTTGTCGCTGGGAAGAGCTCACGCCTCGGTGCTCCCTGCTTATCTTCTTCCTCTGGGACCCACTGTGACCTAGAGCTCCACCATTTGCTTTTCTCCCTGCAGGACTCTTCTACAATGGGAAGGGGTGAAAGGCCAGGGCCCTGGGTTTTGGTACTGGCCTCCTCCCTGCAGGACCCGTTGTGGTCGGGAAGGGGTGAGTGTTTGCTTTTGGTGGAGATGCTGGGATGAACCTGGGAAGGGATGGAGTTTGCTTTCCCCTCAGGGCCCGTCATTACTGGGAAAGGACGTTCTGGGAGAGGCTGAAAGTGTGGCTGATTTCCCTCCCTCCCCCTGAGTCACGCGGTCCCTCCGTCTTTCCTGGGGAGCGTTCTTGTGGGGATATTATTTTCCATAACCCTTCACTAGGTGCCCGTGGAAGGGCCCCAGATGGAGGGGAACGTTGCCGTGGTAGGTTCAGGGCTGAGGCCTGTGCCTGTGCCCTGACCTGTGCCTTCCCACGGCCTCCACTTCCTACCCTGCCGCCGCCACGCCAAAGCCAAGCTATATTCGGACTCCTGCTGACTCCGGGGCACTCGGGTCCTGTCCCAGAGGTGTTAACTATATCCCTGAGAGCCGGGCTCCAAGGAGAAGCCCCAGGCTCGTCTTTCAGTGAAGTGCGGAAATTCTGACAAACCCGGTGCCCACTTCTGAGACTCGCTGAGTCATTCCCTGGGCCCTGGGCAGCCCCGTGATAGAGCCTACAGGGCGGGAAGGATGCTGTCTGCAGCAGACAGACAGGCGCCTCCTCCGAGAGCCAGTGCTGTCCAGGAGCCGCTGTCCAGGCTGCCTGGACACCCAGCCTTTGCCCAGGGATGGGGAGCCTTCAGCAATGCCTCCGCTGACACTTTTAGCGCAAAGACCTCAAGCTCTAGCAGGTGGGGATGTGACTGTACTAAAGGTCCAGAAACAGGATGGACACCCCCAGGTGGGCCGTGGTCCGTGGGTGTGTTTGTTTGAGGAGGACATTACAGAGAAAACCTCTAGGGACCTGTGTTTTGAGACAATACTGTAATATTTTTTTCAGAACAAATGTCTTGCCGTTGTTTACCCGTGTTTTGATCTGGAGTCATGGGATTTTAGGGTTTGGATGAGCTTCAGATCAGTTCTTCTCCCTCCAAGAGCCCCGCCCTCCAGCTCACTGAACAGAGACCAAGAACAGAGAGGTGGAGGGACCCAAGGTCACCCTACCAGATCAGGCCTCGAGTCCAGATTCTTGAGGTTGCTTGATGAGAAGCAAAATGATTTTGGTTTTGTTGTTGTGTTCTGGGTTTTTGTTTGTTTGTTTGTTTGTTTTCAGGCAAAGGTGACATATCAGTCATTGCGTTATATGTTGGTTATATGTTCGGCTGTTGGACATTTGGCCAGGAAAAAAAAAAAAGTTCCACATTCGCATCTCAAGAGAGAAGGACATTTGTTTTATCCTAGTATACGGTCTGTTTGAAGGAAAAATAAACAGTGTTTTCATAGTGAGGGAGTAGGTAAAGGATTCAATTTTGTTTAAGTCTCATGGCATGAATTTAAAGCAGGATATAAGTTCAGATTGTTTAAAAAACTTTTCTCCATTTGGTTTCACATGGAAAAAAAAATATGCAGCATGACACGGGGTGAATTCTAAGCCAGTGTTTGTTGATAGTTATCATTGGAAGCTCAGAAAACCTTAAAAATGTTAAACACTTTGTGTATATTTTCCATATTTAGGGAAATTTGGAGGCAGGATCCCAGTAGACAAGCAGCATACAACATAATTTAAAATAAATGATCAGGGGAGGGCTTTCTACACAATTTTCTGTCTCTGTTTTAGAGTAAAGGAGACAAAGAGAATCCTTGGAGTCTGGGAACTCCCTTCCTCCCATCCCTGTGCCCTGGGGAGTCCTTCAGGATCATGTCCCACCTACAGTTGGCCTTAGCTCAAGCCTGGAGAGACAGAGCTATTGCATCTTTTATGGACAAATAATATTTCTTTATTAACCACACATTACAATCTTAATTTCTTAAATACCCTGGAAATCCAAGCAGCAATGTGATTTAAGAGTAAATCAGGCTGTTAAGAAAAATGAACTGTAGCTGAGTGCTGTGGCTCATGCCTGTAATCCCAGGGACTCAGGATACTGAGGCAGGAGAATCACAGGTTCAAGGCCAGCATCCGCAATTTAACAAGGCCCTGAGCAACTTAGTAAGACCTTGTCTCAAAAAGGCGAAGGGGGCTGGGGATGTGGCTCAATGGTTAAGTGCCTCTGGGTTCAGTGTGGTACCAATAAAAACGAAAGGAAAGAAGAAAAATAAACCACCCTCCTACTACTCATATGCGTTTGTACCTGGTAAAGTGAGAAGTAGTTCCTGCACCTTAGGCCATTTAGCTCTCAGGGATATAATACTCAGGAGGTATGTTATGCCCATCAAAGGAAAACAGAAGCTGGGGGTAGAGAGGAAAAAGGACTTGCTGATGGTCCCCAGAGTTCAAGGGACAGCCAGGACACCAATTTGGTGTGTCTGGCCTGGAATCCACTGTTGCTCCTCTGCTACCCCTCTTTACTCACCTGTTATTCAGCCAGGGGTCCTCGGGTCCACACTGTCCTGAGTGGATTAGGATGAGGTGCTAATTTCCTCTTGGCAATTCTCTTACTTGACTTTCCAGGCCACCTTCTCTGGGTTGAGTTTTCCCTTATCCACTCAGTCTTGGCCGTCCTGCCCGGCTGTTGTAGCTCTGAGCTGGCCCAAGCTGACTCCTACAGAGTGGGCTCTGCCTCTCCCAGCAAAGGCTTCCCACCCTGTGAGCCTTCCAGGTGCTTCCTGGTGACGCTGAGGCACCTGCCCACAGCTGGCAGTGTTTGCTGGTGCCTTTGTTCAGTTTTTGCATTCATCCATCCATTCATTCATCCATCCCTCCATTCCTTCCTTCATCCTCCTGGTCCTTATAGTATCTGGCAATTGCTCAGCAAATGCAAACACAAAACTATACATGGAAATGTGAAAGGGTTTTTCAAATGACTCCTTCCCCAAGCTTGTGTCTGTCCAGTAACCAAAATGCCAGAGGACACAAAATTCCCTCAGGAAAATTGTCCTGAGGCAAAACCTGAAGCAGAACGGGAGACGCAGAGAGAAGAAGAAGGGCCAGGAAGTGGTCAATGTGAGGTTGAGATGAAGGGCCAGCTCCAGGGAGAGCAGGGCCAGAGCTGGCTGTGGAAAGGAGCAGAGTGGAGAGAGGGATGCCCAGGAAGCAGGGCCTGGCCTCCTGAACTTCTGTCATAAGGAAGACGGACGTGTGGACGAAGGCAAGCACCTGGGGAAGAGAGCCTTGGTTTATTCATTTCCTGGTGAACTTTTGTGGGCAGGGGCTATACACCAGGGCCTCGCTAAGGGCGGGTGACTCAGTGTAGCCCTGAGACAGTGCAGTGTGGGGAGGGCGATGGTGGAGGAAGCGAGTCAGGGAGGGGTCCTTGGCTCAAGTCCAGAGGAGAACGTTGGGGTCCAACAGGTGACTGTGGAAGGTGAAGGAGTCCCGGGTGCAGAGAAGGTACGGGAAACAGATGTGTCCTCTGAGAAGCCTGCGGCGTGCTTTGGCGTGGCA